TGTGACATTCTGGGATGGAAGGTAATGACCTCTCCACCCAGTCAACTTGCTACAACTACTGGCATTGTCAATTCTCAGGAAACCAGAACATAGGGGACAGTGAATTGCCATGTGAGTGGACAAGAACACTGACTGCCATCAACCTATGAGGGTAGTTAGGAGTCTCTAGACTAGTGCCCTCAGACTAGAGCATCAGGAGAAAACCTAGCTGGCTCTTAACCTCACTCAAAGATGAATAGAGAGAAAACACTAGTATGAAGAATAGAACAAAAAGGCCTCTGAAAGAACATTAAAAAATGGCTTCACCACCCAAAGGATTCTGAGAAATAATGTGACTTCAAAGGTGACTTGTTGTGATTAACCAGGGAAAGGTTTTTCACAGGAAGTATTCATTCTAAATTTAGTTGAAGATGATAAGTCTTCAACTAAAAGACGCACATGCTGAAATTAAAATACATATTATAGTTTTTTAATATTTAAAATAAATCCACCTATCAAAGAATACTTAAAATGCAAGGCAGAAATAAAACCCAAAAAGGAAAACTTATTCTTTTTGAAATTAGATCTATGGTATTGTAACAGAGAGGATCGACCATGAGACAGAAACATAGGGAAGTGAAAAGGAGGTAAATCAGAAGGCAGCATTTGCAGAATCCCAGTGTGCTAAGGCAAAGGCTGGCAAACTACAGCCCATGGCAGCACCTGACACCACCTGCTATGGTATATGGCCCATGAGACAAGAATGGATTTTACCTTGTTAAGGGCTACATTTTACATGGTTATGTAAGTATTCACGTAACCATCTTGATTTTGCCTTTTAGGCAATAAAACATAAAATATTTATGATTTGATTCTCTTAAAAATTTTTCCACTCCCTGATCTAAATAAAACTTCAAGATAGCAATCAAGGTCACTAATGTTTGCTGAGAGCTTGCTGTGTGCGGTGTGAGCCAAATGGTACAGACATTACTTAACCATCGCAGAACACTTCTCAGGGTGTATCACCTCTACCTAACAGAAGAGGAAACTGAGTCACTGTGAAGTTAAATACTTGTCCAGTGAGTGTCACCCCAGTCCCAAACCCATGACCTCAACCACCAGCTCAGATGCTGACCAAGTCCCTAGAAAGAAGACATGTGCACAGACTTAAAAACCCAGGACATGAGCAAGAAACAAGCATGAATTTGGCTGGAAAAATGAGAAACAAAGGGTAGCAACAGGTTGTTGCTGGTGGGGGAAATCCTGGTGGGAATTTTCAACCAAGGAATCATTTCACCACCTGTGTATGGTAAATTGCCTGGTGCCTGGATATTTCGCTGTAACACTGTTTGTAGTAACAAAGGATTGGAGACAACCCCAATGTCTGTCATTAGGTGTCTGAATGATAGAATACTATGCAACCTTTTTAAAACAAGGATATCTTTTATTGCTGTTGTGTCAGTCAGCTATTGCTGTGTAACAAAATATTACAAACTCTTAGTAGCACATAATAAGCATTTCTCAGGTGTCTATAGATCAACTGGGCAAAGCTGGTTGATTCTAAGTTACAGGTTAGACACACATCTGTTCCACTTACCACTCAATTCCATGGGCCACAGACCTGGGTACAAATATGTGGAAATAAGCAAAGCCTCTTCAGCCTTTGACTCAGCACTGGCACATGGTCACCTGCTTTCTTTTTGTCCTAAATGTGACATACGGGAAGGCCAGAGTTAAGGAGCCCTCACCTTTTTAGAAAGGAACTAAAAATCTACATACATGGTAAAAAAAAAATAAAGGATAGACACAGAAAGAGACGAAGAGGTAAATCAATAAAATTCAAGCAGCCTTGCAGGCTGTTATATAGCAACATCCATAAAGCATCTCAGCTGCGCGCTATTCTTGCTTTCAGGGCAGAGCTCTTCAAGCTATTTCTACATCAGAGGCAATCCACCCACAAGTGTAACTCTGACATCTGTACTTCCCTCAACCTGGGACATGCTGCAGGGACATCTGTACCACCTTACACCTGGCACACAATGTGAGCACCTTTGTACTGACCATCACCTTGGATATGAAGAAGTACACCTCAGTACTGACCACCACATTGGACATGAAGGAGTGGACCTCTGTGGCAACCATCCTCTGCCCCATCTCCATCAAGCCCCCTACTGCAGCCTAAGGAGACGCTGCAAGGCAGCTCCAGGTCCTGTTATGTGTCCAGCACACACACCCCAGCACCACCCCCAGTGCTGCTGCTCTGCTCTATCCCCTGTGCACCGTGTCCCCCACCCCATAGACACACATCAGGACAACTCCCAGTTATCTTCCCTTCTCAGTTCCTCCTTATTTTACACAGAAGAATTTTTACAGGTCAAAAGCAGATGCAGGACACTCAATGAATCACAGCCATGATAGCTGTCTTCGAGGCAAGCGGCCCCATCCTGAGAAAACATGGCACCAGTTCAAGAAAACAACTCTAAACAGGCCAGGAAGCTGTGGAGGTTGGCAGAAGAGAGGCAACTTTGAACCTGCAGGATGTGTGTGTGTGTGTGTGTGTGTGTGTGTCTGTCTGTCTGTCTGTCTGTCTGTCTGTCTGTCTGTGACTGTGTGTGTGTCTGTGTAAAAATAGTTCTTGGAACTCTTCCTAAAAATGCCTCCCCAAATTTTAATAACTTCCAATTCTGTGAATAAAGAACTAAGATAATTCAATCCAACTCTTCTACCGAAGTTGCTTTAAAAAAATCTGGACACAATATGTTCGAGAACATGTTTGAAAGCATTAAGAATTTATAAGACAGCAAAGGATTATCAGGCCCACCACCGATGGCAGCAAAAAAACAGAGCACCGCAGAGGCTAGGCCCCCACGCCCCTCAGCCCTGCAGCATTTGTGATCCTGAAGAAACAGCTGGGTTTTACCAGCTCACTTGAGGTGCAGACACCCTAAAGACCATAGCCTCAGGGTAAACCCCAAAACACAGCTCAACATCACATTGTACTCTCAAAATAGCCTGCCATCAGTCTGAATCCTTGCAGTAGACAGGAAGTTGGTATGCCTCTCCGTCCAGATGGAAGACACTTTTCATCCTACAGGTTATTGTAGAAAGTTCATGATTGTGGACTTCTGTTTTTATATTAGGATGCTGTTCGTTTTACCTATGATTTTTTGGTGGTGAGGGCTTGGTTAGAGACACAGCCCCACATCATAACGTTGTACCCAAGGGAACATGCAAATCCCCTTTACGACAATCAGCTCAGTGACACAGTTTATGGACTCACGTGGCAGCCGAAATTGGGCCATCCCTGTAAATGCAAATTCGTGAAATGCTCTGTTTATTTTAAGCTGCTCTGTTGCTCAGCAAAAGTCTAGGATGAGAATCGTGGACTCAAATCTCTGTTTTGTCCCTTTACAAGCTGTGGGACCCAAGGCACATTGTCTGTATGACTGAGTCTCATTTTCCTCACTTATAAAACTGATGATGATGATGATGATGATGATGATAATGATACCCATAATATTCAGAGTGGCACCAAAGATGTTACACATTGGACCTGTCACTTACTGTTTCAAAACAGTCAGTTTCCATTTCTGACAATCTATGACCTGCATATACCTTAGTATCAGGCATCAACACTACTATACAGTGAGCTGCCCAGAAAATTCAGAGTGGGAAACTCATTTATGTTTCCCCATCCTGTAGTATGTGCAGATGTTAGCATTTTCTAGTGGGCTGGAAATCTTTTTAGTAAAAAGAAGCACAGACAGTAGAGGGCTTAAAAGTAACCTCATTCTGACCAGGTCATAGGATGGTAGGATGGTTTAAATTATTGTCATTCTTTGGTCTGGTAGGTTCTTTTTGAGTGATATTTTCATAATATTATCAACCTGGTTCAAAGGTTAACTATTTAGCTGAAGAGAACTGTAAGTGGCTACAAAAATACTGGGTAAATAACTAAACTTGTCTTCTATTGTAGCTTATGTGGAAAGGAAAATTTTGGTACCATGTATGCTAACCTCTCCTTGGACATAATAAAGAATCCAACTAAAACAAAGTTGAAGGGCAGGGAAGGTGGCCCTGTGGTAGAGTGCTTGCCTCACATGCATGAGGCCCTAGGTTCAATTCCTTAGCACCACATAAACAGAAAAGGCCAGAAGTGGTGCTGTGGCTCAAATGGTAGAGCACTAGCCTTGAGCTAAAGAGCAGAGGGACAGTGCCCAGGCCCAGAGTTCAAGCCCCACAACCGACCAAAAAAAAAAAAGGTTGAAAACAATTTCAGATGGGCAAGTCTCTTGAGGCCAATATTTTATTTCAGAGATTTGTGTTGTATTTGGCAAGTAACTCTGTACTGCAACTCTGTGGCTTTCAATTAAAAAAGTAAAACTGGAAGAAAAAAACTGGCTGTTTCTTACTAGCATTAACAGGAAGCTATCCTGGATATTGTAGTTTAGAACAATAAACAATACTAGTGACACAATTGTTAATAATAGTAATAGCTGTAGCTGCTAGGCCACAGTGTGTCTGGGAGCCTGGAACTAAACCTTTGAACATTCTAAGGTAAGTCATCACAGCACCAATATCTTCACATGGCACCAGATTACAGGCCTGACACTGCATCATTTAGAAAGAGAAGATGTGGCCTTTGACCCTAAAGCCCCTAGGATCAGTTTGAGGGATAAGACGTGCACACAAGGCAGTAGACAGCTAAGAGGACCCACTGAAAAGACACTGGTTTTATTTGGGGGAAAGGAAAGTCCAAGGGTGGGGAGAGCAATGAAGCCTTGGGACATTCAGAAATAACTTGAGTAAATCCATCAGGAAGGTCTGGTGGGGCGACAGGGTGCCTCCTGGGAGTGAGAGCTTTGGGGAACACCTCCACCCCGACACAAAGGCTCAGAATGGATACAATCTAGGCAGCCCCACATGTGGGAAATCTGAGGTCCAGGCAGCTGCACCAGGTGCTTGTGGCTACTCTGGAGGTGACTGGAGGTGGGACCAGGGCTCTCCAAGATTTCACTTACTCTCTCTGAGATCTTCTGGGGCCACCGGAACACTGTAATCGTCGCTGGCAGCCTTCTCAACACCCTTGCTTCTCCGGCCTTTTCTGTTGCCATTTTTCCCTAAGAATAGAAAGGTGCCTTTACTTCTGGTTAAAGGAAAGGAAGCACCAAACCACCCAAGAAAACAAACAACCACAATAAAAGCATTGTGCAACTGAAACTATTGTCAGCCTGCAAAATGCTTTTGACTCTAATACAGAGGCACCATCCATATGATGGATGGACTGGAAGTGGAAGTCTTATTTGAACACCAGAGCTAGTATTTCCCCCCATGTTGGATGTCCCTCAGCTGGAAGTGGAAGTCTGATTTGAACACCAGTGCTATATTTCCCCCCATGTTGGATGCCTCTCAGCCGAGTCTTACATTCTCACTTGGGGCATTTGGGTGAAGATGGTGGCCACCAACTGGAGAGACTCTTTGCTGTAGCCCAGGAAACCCACTGTGCACCCAGCCCCCAACCCTTCCAGCTTCTCTTCCCAATACCAAGCCACTCTCTCTGCCTCAGAAGCACTGGTCTCCCTTCAGGAACAAAAGAAAGGAAAGAAGGGAGGGAGGGAGGCAATGGAGGGAGGGTGTGAAGAAGGGAGGATCATGTCAGTGAATAACCAAACATACAAAAACAAGAGGATGACAGGTTATAAAAAAATAGATTTCAAGAATAATAGCCTAATACATAAAAGAGATATTAAAATGGAAGTTGAAATAGCAACAAACAGCCTGAGGCTTCAGCTTGGACCAATTAATAAAACTACTTCTCATTATTTGACAGTACCCCACACACACACTGAACAGGATATCTACTAAGAAAACCCTAAGGCATCCCAAGGCCAGAGGTGGGATGCTGACTAGTGTCACGTCGTGGCACTTGTCCTGCTCTTGTGTGCAGGACTGTCCTGGCTGGTCACCTTGACAATGCCCACTGCAGGTCCACAAAGACTTGGGTTATTTAGCAACACTGGCAGCATGGATGTTGGAAACGCATGAGTCTCATTTGGCAGAAAGATATGTTACTATATATATATAACTGTATAGATATATACATACACACACATATTAACAAAATACGTTTAGAAAAAGCCAACGTGCTACGAATGAATGTTCTGTTTCAGGCCTTCCCAGGAGACTGCGCCCACTGCAAGCCATCTCAGGGCAGCCTCCCTAGACCCTGCTGGGAAAGACTCAGAGAGTGGGTGGCAAAGATCTGGCCCCGGTACCGTCTCAGCACAGCAATGAGGACAACGAGCCCCTAGCTCGGGAGAGAAAGGCCCAGATGTGTGGTTCTCCCACAGGACCAACACACGTGGGGCAGAGTCCCTTGGGGGAGTGATCACAACTGGAGCCCAGCCTTCTTTACCATCAGAGATGAGCGATGGTGGTCAGGAGCAGCCAGCTGAGGGCGGGCTCAGCCTCCGCCCTTTCCCTGCAGTCCAGAGCCCCAGGGGGACCTGGGACATCACATTTACCTCTCTGCCTCACATCCTCTTCAGAGGAAAGAGACAAGGAGCTGACTGCACAGAAAATCACAAGGGACTCAGAATGAGCCTGACCTTCCATCCTTGATCAAAAGATGACTTCTAGCTGGCACTGGTGGCTCAGGCCTGAACTCCCAGCTACTTAGAAAGCTGAGATCGGAAGATAGAAGTTTGGAGCCAGACTAAGCAGGAAACTCCGTGAGACCCTTATTAACCAGTAAAAAGCTAGAAATGGAGCTGTGGCTCAAGTAATAGAAGACAAGTCTTCAGCAAAAAAGCTGAGGGATAGCGCCCAGGCCCTGAGGTCAAGCCCCAGCACGGGAACAAAAAAATTAAAATAAATACAAAAAATAGATGATTTCTATCTTTTCACAATCAATACATCATCCCATCTACACATCACAAAGCTCACATGTAATACACTTCTCAATTGATCAGATATTCTCACATAGATGGTAACATCAGACCTTGGCAGGAACAGCATTTTACAGATGGGAACAGAGTGAGGAAGAGGACTGCTGAAAGTCCGGACGAAGCCAGGTGGTGACAGAACTGAGGCCCGTTGGCAATCTGAGCCCGTCCCAGCCAGCATGGATTCCTCTTCCGTAGCCTCTTCCTGTTTTAACAAGAGGGCAACATATGGCCGGTACAGATGAAAGAAGAAGGAGAATGGAAATAGTGTTCAGAGAAGGAGCCAGAATCAAATCAACATCTCCATCTGGGCCGCGTGACAAAACAGAATTCCTTAAAAGTAGCAAAGTGAACTGCCAATGCAGGCCACATGTTCTATTCTGGTCTATGGTGATAAATATAATTCCTCTGGGTTAATAGAAAAAAACTATTTTTTCCCCTCTCTATACAAGGAGCTTACAGTAGGGAACTTTCCCCTCCCACCCCAGAAACTCAAAACCCATTCCCTTTGCTACAGTTTTACATTTTGCCAGGAAATTCCAGTCCAAAGGGGCTCACATTCCCCTGAAGGGGGGTCTGGCCCAGCTCTCCCTCTCACCATCCTTGACTCGCTCTTGGTTAAGAAACCCACGCTAGGAGGAAAGAGCTGCCAAGTGGGGTTTTCTGAGAACTCCCCAGAAATGTAACCTACAGGTCGCTCTCCCCAGAAATGTAGACTGGAGACCTCAAGTGAGACAATCATTGCACGAAAAGCCTGCACAGCAGCATAGACATTCCAGCTCTATAGGGATGAGAAGAAGGGCTGCCCAGGGGTTGGGGTGGGGAGGGCTTGAGCCCTTATACCAAGATGGGCAGATCCCAGGGGAACCCAAAAACCTCATGTGGGCCCAGGAGAGCTGGCTCAGCAGCTCAAAGTTGCCCTGGCTTGCAGTCACATGATCTGGCAGGAAGGGAGGCTGAGGGGCAGACAGGGCACCGAGGACAACCTCGGAGTGCACCCCTCCGCTCTGTCTCTCTCAGGCGGTCTTCTCTGGAAAGCCTGGCTGGCCCACCCCAGGCCAGCCTTTAGTGCAGAAGACTCCATCAAACTGGGGTGTGAGGGCTGGGGGGCCTCTGTGGCCATACCCCTGCCCTCTGAATGGTCTGCTGTCACCTTCCCCACACACAACCAGACAAGTCTGTTGACTTTAAGATGAGTCTTTTACCTTTGTAACACCTGCAGTGGGCATGTGTGCACCGGTGTTTGCAGGGCGCCCTTGGTGCTGCTTGCCTGAGTTTTGGTTATACTCAGTGTCCAGCCTGAGGCAAGAAAGCCTGGATTTCAGGAATGCTCTTGAGAGATGATTTCAGGCAGCACAATTAAAAGGGTGTAAGAGGGGAAAGAAAAGGCCAAGAACCCAGGTGTATTACCTGGCAGGACCCATGCTCACAACTTGGCTGGAGACTCAAGAAACAGGAGAGAGGTATCACCGTGCTGCCCTCCAGAGCCTGGGAAGCTGGGCACTGACTCCTTTAGGACCCACAGGGTACCATCAGCGCACCACCAGGAGGAATCAGGCCTTGGCAGAAGTCATATGTGCCCACAACTGCCCACAGACAGACCGTGAGCCCAGATATCTCCAAATCCTGAACAAGCTTAACATGACGTCCCACACGTGGCTTTCACAGACCAGGCATTAAATACAACTGTGCCATCGGGACTCACATGAACACTGGAAGTATTCTATACATGCCATGAGTAGCTGGAAGGCTAAGGCCAGATGGGGCCAGCAGCCCCTCCCCCACAGCCAATGACTTCCTAATTGATGGGTGTCATGACCTCAGAGGGGCAGCTGCAGAAACAGGGGTCTAAGTGGGCCACATATGTTGCTGGGGTGGCCAAACCAGAGTGCTCAATCCCACAGTCCCTCCAGGACATCCAGAGGGACCCACACCTCTGAATGCAGGCCCAGGAGCCCGGCTGTCTTTGTCTCCGCCCTGAAGGCACTGACCACCGTGAGATTTGACAGTCACAGACACTGCGATATTCCAGGAAACACATGACTCTTGCTACGAAACACATGACTCTTGCTACACCACAGCATGCAAGCCAACTTTCAGCCCTAGGAGGGTCCCCCACCCTTTGTGATCCAGGCAGAAGGCCTGGTTTCTGGAACTGTGGGCACAGGCTGGAGGGAGGATGCCAGCACTGAGCTGACTTTGGAAAGCATTTTGGAAAGGGCGGTGGTGCCTTAGAAAGCTAATGCTTTTTTATAATGCATCCTTTCCCTTGGAGCCTTGTGGGGAACTGATCTGAAGGAAACACTCAGATTTAACTCTTAAGCAAGCATGGGGTCTGACGGTAAGGCTTGTCAGTTATTGAGCTGGGCAGCATCTTGGTGGGCTTTTAAAACACATGTAGAAATATTTACAGACACATTCTCCTAAGCCTCACACTCCAGCTTTGCCTAAGAGCTGACATTTCCACCCGAAGGCCAAATTGCACAACACCAGGGAAGAGACGACGCATAAGAGTAATAGGAGTTACTCCACCTGCCCTCAGGGGCAGCACACACAACAGAAAGAGCTTTGTTTACAGCCTGATCTGCTCAAGGAACAATTTCAGCTATCACCCCTTGGGCTGGGGCACAACATAGCCCAAGATGCCAACTGAACCATGGTGGCACAAGTGTATACCAGACATGGCCCAGTGCCCACTGTGAAAGCTCCTCAAGCTCAGCTCTATGGTCTTCCAGCAGGGGTTTGTGTAGTGGCACAATGGTGCTTTCTGGTCAGTGCTTAAAGAAAACTGCCATCAAAGGAACAAGCAAAAATTCAAATGTGAGGGCTTCGTATGTGAGCCAGCTATTCAAAGCCAAAAGGCAACACATGGAGAAGCAGAATCTTCCAATTATACCTTCAGTCTTATTTGTTATTTTGTTTGATTGTTGCTGTGGTGTGGGAGGGAGAGGTAGATGAGTCATATATGAACTCTGTTCCATTTTCTCTAGAAAGAGCATGGCCACCACCCAAAGTGGAGGTGCTACGCGAAGCAGAGCACACCTCAAATCCACGAACATGCCCTCAGTTGGGTGCTTACCATATAAGCAAACCCTGAGCCCCCAAACAGCGGTAGGGATCTGGTCACTGTAAGATTCAGTCCAAAACAGCTGAATAAATAGAAGTTGTCAAGTCCATATGAGGAAGAACATTCTAGCAGTGAGTACTGTCCATCCAAGGAAAGGGCCGCCACCAGGTAGGGAGGTTCCAGCCATCTGTGGAAGGGAGCAGCCGAGGCTGGGCAGCCAGCTGCTGGACTTCTGCCATGGACAGGACTTTGCATTTGAACAATTAGGTTCTTTCAAGGTCTAAAATTCTGATGCTCATAAGGACTTCAGACCTTGTATGATAACCAAATCCTTTGAACTTCAAAAGAAGATTCCATAGTTCCATATCCTGATGGACATACACATACATGTATGTGTACACTCCTGCACACCGGCAAACACATACCTGTAAAAACTAGTGGAATGTGATTAACATTGTAATCTAGTCATCAGTGTTTACAGCTGTCAAATTTCCTGGTTCCCCTACTGTGTACAGTCGGGGAATATATCCTCAATCCCCTGAGAATATTTGCCTACATGTGGAGATATTTCTAGTCAGGAAAACTGGAGGTGGAATGTTATTGGATCAAGACCATGGAAGCTGCCCAGCATCCTACAACCCAGTACCCATCTCCCTCCATACACACCCACAATTAGTCCAAGTGTCAAATGTGCCAAGGCTGAGAAACCCAGCACTATAGTCATATAAGCTCATTCATGGGGGTGACCCCACAAAGGGAGAAACGCACATGACACTTCAACATCTTATTTTTGCAATTTCTTGTAAGTGTCTAATTATTCTAAACTAAAAATTTAAGCAATAGCTCAAGGATTCCATTCCTTTCAGGATACTGGGACTCTACTTGTCTGAAATTTGTCTACCCCTCATGGAAAATGCAGGATAGTTTGGGTACCCATTACTCAAATTGATTGTGATCAATGAATGTACAAAGTTTTCAATTAGGAGAATATTGCATATACATAATGAGGCATCTTAGGGATGGACACAAATCCAAACATGAACTCATTTGTGTTTCATATCCACTTTATACACAAAGCCTGAAAAGAAGTTGGTACAATATTTTTAAGATTTTTGTATCTGAGACAAACTTTCATAGTGTGGAAATTCCTGTGGGTGGCACCATATTGTGCGGAAAGTGTTTCAGAGTTTGGGACATTCTAGTTTTGGGATATGCAGGTGCCCTACACTCTCAATCAGTCCAAATACTCAGTTCTCCAAGTCACCTCCACCTATGTCTATGCTTGACATCCATGGAGTATTTCTGCAGTGGCCAGGTACCCAAGCCAAAAGCAAATCCCCAGTGGCCTCAGTTCCTTCCATCAACTCCCTCCTAGAGCCCACTGCACACAGCCATCCTGCTTACCTCCCACAGAGCCCAGTGTTTATGCTCCCAAGAGACACCTGGAAGACATCATCTTTTAAGATGATGCATGCAGTAGACTTTCATACCAGGTACCGTGCTTTTGCACTCCTACCTGTCTCTCAGTCTCTGCTCTCAGTGTCTAGCCAGGGCTGAGTCCTTACTTACCAATATCCACCCAGTGAGGTAAATTCTACAAGTTT